CTTAAATAGTTCTTTGAAATTCAACACTGGTCCTTCAAACCAATCCCCATCACAGAAGGGCTTGCTGACAAGGGCTAATGCTGTGAATGAGAAAACAACTTAAGAGAAAAAATTAATGAAGTTGCCATACAACCAAGGTGATCAGATTTTAAAGGCCTTCACTACAAAAAACCCACAAGACTGGTACCAAAAGTGCACATACGCACACAGACACACGCAGACACATACGGACACACACACACGTGTGAACTGTAAAGAAAAAACAAAACCACAACACGTATACACGTGTACACACACACACACACACACCCGCCCCCCAAAGACTGGGTCAGCAGTTAAGGCACCTTTATAAAAAACAAACAAACAAACAAACAAACCAAAAAATCCCATGTGGCTTTGGCTTTCCGAAATGTGTTACAGTGCTACCAAGAAGCGATTCTGAAAGCATCTGAAAACGTGCAAAATGTCTGAAAACAGTGCCTGGCAACTGAGACAGTTTGCAAGCGTGATTCAGAGGTCTGCCAAGGAAACAAAAGAAGCCTCCCTCCTCCCGGTGAGACCTCACACGGCACCAGGGGCGCTCCGGGCACTATTTACTGTCAGGTAGGTGGAAAGCAAGAGTCTGTGCAGGAGCGGTACATACTAGGGATCGCTCTCTGGCGGGGACGGGGCCATGGAGTTTCCACTGGTTGGGGAACCGCCCAGCTTTAGTTTTTGCAGATATTCGGCATGCACGGGCTTGTGGCACTGGAGAACCTTGATCGCATCTTCGACTTTGAACCACTCTCGCTTCCTCCCAATGCTAACCGAATCTTCCCAATCCTCCAGAATCTCAGTGACAGTCAGTACATACACGTACGTTCTGTGCTTGCGATCTTGGTTCTGCTCGAAAATGCCCAGGAGCCGGCCCAACTTCCCCTTGACTCCCGCCTCTTCGTACACCTCGCGGACTGCAGCACCGCCCGGCTCCTCCTCGGGCTCCATGCCCCCGCCCGGCACGATCCAGCGGTCCGGGTACCGACTGCTACTCACTAACAGCACCTCGTCTTCGCGCTCGCTCCGGAAGCACAGGCACGCCGCCCGCTTCTTGAACCCCTCCGGGTCGTAGGTCCGCGTCTGGTTCGGCTTGCACTTCATCCTCGAGGCCGCTCGCCGCTGCTCGGGTCCCCGCTGCCGCCGCCACCGGGACGAGGGACTCCGAGGTGCTGCCGAGAGAAAGGGCCGCGGCGAGAGGCGGCGAGAGAGAGAAGCGCCTCAGCCCGCGAGCCCCGGGCGCTCGGGGAAGATGAGGCGGGGGCGGGGACGGAGGCGGGGGCGCGCGAGGTACGTCAGTCGGTCCGTCCCCCCGCGCGGCCGGGGGGTCCCGGGCGCAGACGCCTGAGTGGAGGAGGCGCCACCGCCCCCGCCCCCATCCCCGCCTCCGCCCCGGAGCCCGCCACTCTGCGCGGAGCCCACCCGCGTCTCCGGTGCGCGTCCGCGTCCCTCCCTCCTCAGCCGACGGGGCCGGGGTTGAGCGAGGTGAGGCGCATTCGCGGGCGCGTCCGCGTCCCCGGGCACGTGCGCGTTCCCGTCGGAGGGCGGGGGGCGGGGGTCTCGTGGCTCCCGCAGCGCGCGGCGCCTGGGGCGCACTGCGCAGGCGCCCCGCACCTCCGGGCTGGGAATCTGCAGCCCCCGGGGTGAAATGCACCGCCTTGTGACCTGGGCCAAGCTTGCTTCCACGTGTGCCTTCGAGCCAGACGTGGCTGTGGCGCGGCCGGACGTTTCTCCTCACCCTCCCCACCAGGTTGCAGGAAACACACACGCAATCGTTTTACACACAGGACGGACGGTCAAGTGCGTGTGGTCCTCGTCATCACCCATAAGGTAGAGTGCCGGCTTACTTACAGGAAGGCCCCGGTTTTGTCAAGACGATCCTCGGTATTCTTGACAAAACAGTACCTAATCTTTGCTGAGTCATATCATGCAGTTTTGTTTCTTCAGCAGGTTCTTCACCTTGCCAGGCATCTTGGCACAGCCCATAAGTGAACACCTTTCTTGAACCCCTATTGACATCTTACCCAACCTCTGGTCCTCGGTTTGCTCAGCAGTAAACTCCTCACCTACTTGGTTCAGACCTTTGCACTTCGGGTCATGTTCACCCAACAGCTGGAGAACCACCCAAAGCAGTGTTTTATTAAATCCCAGGAATCTCTCCCCTCCACACACTCCACCCTTGTCTCTCTTTCTCATTGAGAAGTACTGGTTGAGGCTTTGGGAAACATGCCTCTGGCAATCCCTTCATATTTTGCATGTTGATTTTTAGAAGCCTCCTGGCCAGGGACTCCAGCAAGGCCACTTGGTGCTCTCTCCCCTCTGTCTGGTCATCCTGTCCCCTTGGCCAAGAAGTGGCCCTCCCACAGCCCCAGATGTAACAGCCTAAAGCCTTCCCCCTCCTTCGTATTTTTTCTTATTGTTTCCCTGCTCTCACAGTAACCTGTGGAGAAGACCTCTGATATCCCCTCCCTTTTGCCTTATTGCAACTTAGACATCTTTGTCTCTCTCTTACCCACAGACCGTCTGCTGGCATCAGGCAAGCAGGATCACAACACCTCACTTTTCCAGTGAAATAATCCATTCATCAAGGAGAAATTGAATCGGAAAGGTATGTGGAAAATGGTTACGAAACATACAGTCCGGTTTTTAAATAACAAGTTAGTTCAGCTTGCCAGTTCAGCTTGTTCCACGCCGTGTGTATCCAAATAGCTCATAAAATTGATTCTGTTCCTGGTGGCAAGACTACCCTCAATATCTAGAAGTATAATAAGACAAAAATATATGGGCATAATATAATAAAACTGTATGAAGAAAATGGTAAAATGGAGAAATGAAGAGAATGACCTCAACCAATAGCGATACTAGTGCTAATGACCATATTTTACCAATATATGGATGATCAAGGAACATTTGGAGGAAGGCAACATACCGTGATTAAAAACAAACTAGGAGGACTTCCCTGGTGGCCCAGTGGTTAAGACTCTGCGCTTCAATGCAGGGGGCACGGGTTGGATCCCTGGCTGGGGAACTGCCTCACGCCGCGAGGTGTGGACAAAACAAACAAACAAACAAAACACAACAAAAAAACCCCCCAAACACTAGGAAAATAGATGTCAGCACAGGCTGTATACCTCAGTGTGCCCATACTCACAAATAAATGATGTTAAACAACTAGAAACAAAATCCATTATAGTCAGGATCTAGGCAAATATACCAATTATCACCCATATTATTACATATCATTTTAGATTTTCTTTCCCGTGCAATGAGATTGTAAAGAGAAAAAAGCCTACCATTTTGATAAATAAGACAAAATTGTCATTCTTAGCAGATGGTAGGAATATATTCTTGGGAAACACCTAAGAAACGATGTAAAAATAAATTTCTTTAGGGCTTCCCTGGTGGCGCAGTGGTTGGGAATCCGCCTGCCGATGCAGGGGACACGGGTTCGTGACCCGGTCCGGGAGGATCCCACATGCCGCGGAGCGGCTGGGCCCGTGGGCCATGGCCGCTGAGACTGCGCGTCCGGAGCCTGTGCTCCGCAGCGGGAGGGGCCACAATGGTGAGAGGCCCGTGTACGGCAAAAATAAATAAATAAAAATAAATAAAAAATAAATTTCTTTAAATGGTAGACGTTAATAAACATTAACATTTAAAATCCCAAGAGCTTTCATGTATGCCAGCAATAACCCTGTAGAAAATATAATGTGGAAACGATGACATCACAGTAGCAATATCAACCACTACAAAGTAAACAAAATACCGAGGGATCCTAAAAAATATGGTTAGGGCATTGTAGTAGAAAATGATAAAACTTGTACTCAACTCTAAAAGATATTTGAATTAATCAAGAGGAACTTTAGCAAAGCTGGGAGATTGGACTGGTGTCTGCAGGGAGGTGTGGACCAAACAGGCCCCAGCCACATCACCAGTCTGCTTCACAGTTACCAGGTAGTATGTCCTTGTCTCACCAGAGGTGCCGTTTTATAGTCTGCTGCATCACTCCCACATCAGATTATGCCTATGCAATATGTCTGTGCTGGGGGTGGGGCATATTTATTGGAAGGGGGAGGAGAAGCAACATTATAATATGGAAGGAGGTAGAGACTGAATTCCTACTGGCAAAGTCATAACATGTTCCTGGATAAAGAGATCCACAGGTTGTAGGTTTAGTGCAATGCCAAGGAAGTTTCCAAATTAGTTTTTTTCCAAATTTCATAAAATAATTTTATTTTCCACCTGTTAAAACAATAGGGCAAGACAGTTTTAACTTTTTCTAAAGAAGAGTAGAAATCTTTTTTGGGAGACTAGCACTCTGCTGTCTGGTTTATCTATAGTTCATTGTTTCTCCACTGATGAACAGGGTTGTTTCATGAGCCACTGTGGTAGCAGACTGTTACAGCAACAGCTGTGATACGTGCATGCCTCCCACATTGTCCTTGGCCTTGGCACGGAGCTTGCTTTGTGCCATGGGACCATAGCAAGTGTGAAGCAAGCAGAGAATTGAAAAGTGCCTGTGCACTGGGGTTTGCCCTCTCTTGCTGCTCTTGAAACAAGATGACAACAATGTGAAGAAGCCTGGGCTAGGTGAATGATGAGAGATCCACAGTCCATGCATCGCCTTCACCCCACCTTACAGTGGATCCTTTGCCAGAAATGTAGGTGAGACCATCCTAGACCATACAGCCCGCAGCAGAGCCAGTTAGCCGATAGAGCACTGACCACGGATGCGTAAGTAAGCCCTCTGAGAAGAGCAGAAGGACCAGTCACCCGAGCCCAGCTGAAGTCGTTGGGCTGCAGAATTATGAGCAAAAGAATCAGTTGTTGTTTAAAGCCACTAAAATTTGGGGTGGTTTCTTATACATCAAGAGCTAGCTGACACCACCATTAACTGCCATCCATCAAAATCCAACCAAAAATAAAGAAAGTATGTTTCCCAGTAGAAATTCCACCTCTTCTTGAAGAGGTTGCCATTGAACTTTCCCTGGAGTCAGAAGGAGAGGGATGAAGTTAAGACATGTAATATTTGTACGTGTCAGTCTTTGTGCCAGACCCTGTGTTGAGCCCTGTATCCTGTTTAACTGACAGCCCATTAAATCCTAAGGAGACAGTTATTATTTCCGTTTCATAGAAGAGAAGGCTTAGAGTGGAGTTAGTATTTGAATTCAAGTCTTCATGTCTCTATAGCTGTGCTCTCACAAAGTCACCATGTCTTGTCAAAAGGATTCTTTTTATCAAGAGCTACGGTTTGTTGTGGCATTTAAAAAAATTTATTTTATTGAAGTGTAGTTGATTTACAACGTTGTATTCATTTCTACTGTATAGCAAAGTGATTCAGTTATACATATGTATACATTCTTTTTCATGTTCTTTTCCATTATGGTTTATCACAGGATATTGAGTATAGATCCCTGCGCTGTACAGTAGAACCTTGCTGTTTATCCATTCTATATATAATACTTTGCATCTGCTAATCCCAAACTCCCAATCCATCCCTCTCCCAGCCTCCTCCCCCTTGGCAACCACGAGGCTGCTCTCTATGTCTGTGAGTCCTTTTTTGTTTCGTAGATAGGTTCATTCGCGTCATATTTTAGATTTCACATATAAGTGATATCACATGGTATTTGCCTTTCTCTGTCTGACTTCCTTCACTTAGTATGATAATCTCTAGGCCCATCCATGTTGCGGCAAGTGGCATTATTTCATTCTCTTTTGTGGCTGAGTAGTGTTCCATTGTATATAGGAACCACATCATCTTTATCCATTCCTCTGTCGATGGACATTTAGGTTGTTTCCATGTCTTGGCTGTTGTGAAGAGTGCTGCAGTGAACACTGGGGTGCATGTATCTTTTCAAGTTATGTTTTTCTCCAGATATATGCCTGGGAGTGGGATTGCAGGATCATATGGCAACTCTGTTTTTAGTTTTTTTGAGGAACCTCCATACCGTTTTCCACAGTGGCTCCACCAGTTTACATTCTGTTGTGGCATTTTTGGATGACGTTCAGAGTTGACTTCTTAGGTAAGGTGTTCATTTGCTAAGGGTCACTGAGTTCAAAGGAAGCTATTTCCGCTCTGGATGTTCTTCTCCTGAGAAATATAGTGAAAAGCCCACCTGAGGGCCCATCTCACTCCCACCAATGAAGGATGTCACCTTGACACGTTACTTAACAACTTGAAGTTCAATTTCCCCTGCAAGCATAAAATGGAATTAGTGTTACAGAGAAGAAGACGTTCTATTTTGTCATCATCCTGGGCATTGATTTTGATTTGTCGAGGGTCCGCTTTATGCATGTAATATTTATTTACCAGCAAAATTGAAAAATGAGTATCAAAATCTCCTTTCAACAGATTAAGAGACAGGCTGAGATGGGTTTAAGGAGGTGAGGCAGCAAGTGATGGAGCTGAGTCACACGCTGGTCTGCCTGACACCAAAGGTAATCTTCCCTTCACTATGACAGATTTCGCACGTGTTGAGAGTTGCTGAGATACACACACAGTGCATGTCATTCCTTGTGGCGCAGACTTCCTCCGCTCTCATTTTTTTCTGCCTGGGAGATCTGGGCAGCCAGGAGAACACAGCTTCTATGTAATGTTCTAAAACTGAGAGGATCTGCTCTGAGCGCAACTAGTCTGGGATACATATTTCCACATGTTTTCTGATTTAGGAAAGAGCAGGCAGATTGGAAAGTGACAGCAACATTAGAAGCATGGTCCTGGGAAGTTGGGTGCCTTTCTTGGTGAGATGGGCATGGAACCTAGAGCTGCCTCTTTTGTGATTAATTTTAAGTGGAATGCAATTCTAAGAGGGAGGAGCTCTCCAGAACAGCTGTCACCGCAGATGGAGAACGTTACAGACCTTCTGAGAGCCTTGTGGTCGTCACAGCTGCACCCAGCTTTCAGGAGAGTGACCACACATACCTGAGAGGATTTCTAGACGTACTAAAGGGAAGCAGAGTCGGGAAATGTGATTTTAGTAGTAGTCAGTGAGTGGGAAAAAAATTGGTGTTTTGTAAACCAGATGCCCTAGAACTTAAGTCTGGCTCTCTCAGTAGCTGTGCAGCCTTAAGCAAGTGAATATCTTGGACCTTGATAGTTCTCATCTGTAAAATGGGGATAGTAAAAGTACCTAACTCATTAACTTCAACCCTCCCCCAAAGGCTTTCCTGACCATGTGTACTCACCCACCCCTTACACTGCGATTAAATGACCCTCCTCCATTTTACCGGGCTCCCTTGACTTTAATTCTGTCATGGCTCTAATCAAGGATCGAGCGCTGTGATGATCTGTCTGTATGTTTGTAAGAAATTGAAAGGCTAGGGTCCAGCCTGATACATACCTGTTCCCCCTGAGTCAGCACAGTGACCTGAGCTCGGCATCCAGCAGGGATTCAAAATACATTGATTGACTGAAAGAGTGTGACAGAGCCTACATGGATCATAAAGGATGGTTCTCATTGTACCTAATAATTGTTTATTACAAATATAAAATGAAAGACGAGTGAAGAGAGGCAACTCCACACATAGCTTTTCACGTGTGTGAAAAGGGAGGCTTCATCATGTTCCTTGGATAATCTGTTTTTCCTTGAAACACAGCAAGGGCTTCAGAGTGGGGCTACAGTAGGTAGTTCAGTAGAAACTTCTCAAATACAAAGGGATTGGAACAAAAAAATACCTCCCCATTTTTTTTTCTTTGCTTAATGGATGAACCATGGGGATGAATACAGGACTTGTAAGTTTGTGATTTTGTGAGTAACGGCACACGTGTGCACAGTCACGGGCGTGAGCCCAACGGTCAATGGAGGTCAAGTCCAGGTGAGTGTTTCCACTCTCTCGCAAAGAGGCAGCACTCCTTGATTTCTCCTGCTTCTTTGATCACTCCCTCTGGTCCCCTGACTGCTGTATCCCTGCTCTTCACTGATACTGTCCTCTGTACAGACCTCTAATTCAGCAACTAAACCCTTCCTAGCGCTGTTCCGTTCATGGCTCAGAGTCAAATGCGAAACCCTCAGAAAGGTGTACGAGGCCCTACAAGATCTGGCCCCATTTCCTCTCTGACTTTACCCCACCAGCCTCCCTTCAGTCACTCAGGTCCAGGACTCTGCAGTTTCTGGATCTTGTCAGCCAGGCTCCCTCCTCAGGGTCTTTGCTCTAGCTCTTCCCTTTGCCCGGATGCTCCTCACCCACATCTGCCTGGCTGACTTCCTCATTTCCCTGGAGGCCTTGCTCAGTTCTCGCCTTCTCAGTGAGGGCTAACCAGGCCACAGAACAGCATATTGCCAAGTGCACCCGTCTTTCCCACCCTCCACCCTATCCCTGATCCCCTTTGCCTTGGCCTAAATTGTCCTTTTGTTATAACACTTATCAACTAACAGACTCTGTTATTTACTTCTTTGTTATGTTTGTTGCTTATCTCTGTCCTCCCCCAGAGCTCCCAGCTGTGAGGTCCTTGGTCTTAGGGATCTTTGTCTCTTGCTCACTGGTCAATCTCCAGCAGCCCAGAACTTTGCTGAGCACACATTGTAGTCATGCAGAGGATATCTGTTGATGTAATGAGTGTGTCTGCCTCCCTTGGTACATTGTGATACCCTTGAGGGCAAGGGCCATGTTTCATTGGTCTTTGTCAGTCCATGATCCAGGACACTTTCTGATACAACTGGGAAGGCACTACGGAATATTCATTGAATTAATCAATCCGTTAATTAATTAATTTGTGAAAGCGATACTAACAGGGAAAACATTCTGTTTACAAACTGCAGTTATTCCAGTAGGTGCCATCTGTGTGAGCACCATGTCTGTATCAGCTGCCATGCAAACTCTGCTGGTCGGCGCGGCCAGATGTCTGACTCATTTTCCGTGGATCCCTCCTAGGCCAGCCCTGTGCTTACTACACAGCATGACTTAGGGTGGCGTTTCCAGACCTCAGGCCTTCGTCACCTAAATAGACTTTGCTTTATCTGCGCAGAACATCTACTAATTTACATAATATATTTTCTTCAAATAAAAGTGTTTATCTTTGAGAATAAAAGGTAATCATACAGTTAAACGTGGTGAACGCAAAAGAATGTAATGAGCTAGTTGAAATGAAAGTTGAGATTAATGTGAAGTAATAGTACATGCAGCGATGGGCACCAAGCTAGGCTCTTCATTGATCTTCTGTAGTTGAATCCTAGGACTACAGGATTTGTAGTTGAATTCCTTCAGAGGAAATATTGTCATTCCCACTTCGTAAGGGAGACTGTTGAGATGACGGACATTCTGTAAGTTGCCCACGATCTGGCAGTAGATAGCCCAAATGAGAGGGAAACTCGGGGCTCACCGATGATAACATCCCAGAAAGAGTGCAGCATAGGCAGACCCCCGCTTAATTTGCTCCCAGCAGTCCTGTCCGGTTCCCTTCCTTTTTTCACTGATCCAGCTCTCCAAAGCTTTCATCCCATCTCCTAACACTTGCAGAAGCTCTTCATCCCAGAGATCTCGCCCCAGCTGCTTTGGCCAAATGTTGGTATATTCAACACTGATTCCTGCTGCGGCAGATGGAAGGTGACTATTCTGAGTCCTTGTGAAGGAACAAAGTAATTGTTGTTTACACTCCTTCATGACTTTTGATGATTGTGGATCCTGGGGAGGGTCCTTTGTTGCAGAGCTAGTTTCCTTGTGTGAGAATCCTGTTCTTGGCAGGATGCCCTTTTCTTCCACAAAGACATCCAACTGGCCCAGGAGGGAAGATCAGGAGTTTACTGATCAATGCTGCTGTGCACCCACAGGCCCAGGCACCGTGAGACCAGTTCCCTCAGAAGCAATACTACAGATTTCTCAGGGTTACCAAGCTGTTCTGCACATTTCGCAGGCTCCTTTGATGAAGACCACAAGCGAGGTATAGAATCAAAATTGGGATCAGGAAAACGGCCACATTCTCCCGGTACCCCCAGTAAAATCCACCTGTTCTGGGAGGGTGCACCATTAGTGAGCAGCATGGTAGGGTGGCTCTGACCAGGGGTTCTGAGCCGGGCATCATCCTCTGGAATTCGAGATTAGTAGGAAAACGGCTTTTCCTTTACTCTTTTCCCCCCATCTTCTCCTCGGGTGTTTATTATTTCAGGGCACATTGGAAAATCGGTGGTTTTCTTAGCAGTTTTCCCCAAATACGAGATCTCCTAGGAGAGGACACCAATTAGACTCTTAGTTTCTGAGCTTCGCTTTAACTTTGATCAGATAGCTTTTAGTACCAGCCTACGTCTCAAAGGAGGTATCCTTGATTTGTTGCTTCGGATGAACTTTCTGCTGTGTGTAATTCCCAAAATTCTTGTAAAGGAATCCTGTTTTTCTGTTGTTGCTTTTTCCTAACTACATATCAGAAGAGATGATAAAATCTCTTTGAGGGCCTACCATGTGTCAGGTATTTACATATCTCACTGACAATTTTCATAAAATCCCTGTGGCATAAGTACCATTATTCCAGTTTCACAAATGAGGAAACCAAGGCCCAGGAGGGTAGATACCTTGCTCATCACAGAGCTAGGAAGTGGCAGAGCTGGGATTTAGGAGAACTGCTGTCACAATCCATTGTCTGCATATCTCCACATTTTTTAAAAGTTTTTGAAAAAAATTCCTGTGTTCTTGAGAGTCACCAATGTAAATTTTAAAATTCCACACCGTTGCTATGTCATCATTCTATTTATTTTTCGAGTTTTTCTCATGACAAATAGTACCTTCCTTTACAGAAAACATTAAGCTTATAACATTAGAGTTGGGGGTGGCAGACATGGAAAGGCTTACACATGGCTAAGTTCTGGGAATTGTTGCTTTTAGCCATATTGTGGGCTAAAGACCGTGCCACGTGCTGTGTAGAGGCACATGGACAAATGAACCAGATCTCGTCCTCCAACACCTCCTAGGTTCTAGAAGAGTTTGCATGATACTCAAAGACCACACACATGCTACCTATATAGAATGCATCTACTGTCCTACTCCCAGATTGCAAGTGGATGCTTTTGCTGTCAGAGTTTCAGTATGAAAGAAATGCCTTCAGCAAACCTTCAGCAATGCCTACCATGTTTCATGCAGTGTACGTCGTACAGGATAAGCAAAGAGCAAAGAAAATATGGTACCAGCCCTTAAGGATCTCACAGGAAAACAAACATAAAAAAGAATGTAATTTCTGAATTAGAAGTATCCACGGAGTACATTTACAGTGCAAGAGAGGAAAAGAGGAAGAGGAGACACAGACTGGGGTGATAAAAAAAAAATAGAGGCAGTAGGATCAGGAGTCAGATCAGGGGAACTGAGACCTTGTGACTGTGAACATGAAGGCCTCTATCTGAAAATTCGACTGTTTGGGGGCTCATGGATGTGATTCCTTAATCCCGAATATTTGTGATTTTCAGCAAAACAAATAATCAAATTACCAGTCTTATATTCACTAATTAATTTCTGCAGTTAAATTTCTTTAAATGATTTTTATGCTTCAGTCACTTTTCACTTGCAAAGCCTAGGGGCTTTAAAAAGGCTCCCACCGTGAGGACATTTCAGAAACTGAGAGATTGTTAGAAAGGCCAACACTGATCACGAAGCCAGGAAGTCAGCAGTGCACTGGTACTAGAAGCTGCTGAATACAGGGAGCTGGTGTAAAAGTCAGAAAATGCGTATGTTCCACGTGCCGTGGTAGGCTCTGGGGTTAGAGGGATCAGGCAAGCTGATCCAGCTGTCTTCGTACAGAAAATCACGCAGGCAGATCTTAAACCCAGTGGTCTGTAAAGATTTGTCAGGATTATCGAGGAGGCGTCTCACCTGCGCACACACGCGTGCACACACATACACACACTCACACACAGTTAATAACTTAGAATTCTGAAACACAGCTAGGATCACAGAGTGTTGGAGCCAGTCTGTCTACCTCTAAAGCCTCAAAGAATGTCTATGGCACCAAACCCTTTTTCATAAAACTTTATTTCCATTTAATTCAGAGCCACTACCTGCAGTTCCCCTGACTGTGCTTGCCTGCTGTTGCCCTGTAGGGAGCCTGGGAACTGAGTGTTCTGCTTTATCTGAAGTGCAGGGACTGAGTGGGCAGCTCCAGTGTCCAAGCCCTTCACACTGAGTATGGCCCTATCTTACCAGGACGTGCCCTCATGTTGCTGTCACACTGCAGGCTGTCTGTTCTTGCCTCTGTATTGCAGTTAATCTTCCACTACACTAGCGTTAGAATTCTCTGCCCTGCGACTTTGGTGGCGCTTATTTTAATTTGCACCTTAGAGGTTCATGTGGTTATGGCTGGGCCAGAAATGATTCCTCACCCTCCCCAGTAGGTTGGATACTACAGAGAATTACCTTACGCACAACAGATTCAATATGCTAATGACCTGAATACCGGTGTGTCAGCTTCCTAGTGCTGCGTAACAAATTGCCGCAAATTTGGCAGCTTAAACCAGCACGTATTTATTATTTCACGGTTTCCACAGGTAACACGTGTGGCATGCATCAAGTGAGTTCTCTGGTTAGGGTCTCACAAGGCTGAAATCAAGGTGTCAGTGGGCCTGGGACCTTACCTGGAGGCTCCGGGGAAAAAGCAGCTGCCAAGCTCATTCATCCAGGTGAGTGGCAGAATCCAGCTCCTGTGGTGGCAGGACTGAACTATGTCCTTGCAGGATGTCGTCGGGGCTGCTCTCAGATCCTAGAGGCTGCCTGTGTGTGGTTCCCTCCATCTTTAAGCAAACAGTGGTGTGTCAGATCCTCCTTGGGCTTCAGATCTCTGTTGCTTCCCTCTGCTGCAAGCCAGAGAGAACGGTCTGCTTTTAAAGGGCTCCTGTGGTTAGATTAGGCCCTTTTGGATAATCCAGGATAATCTCCTTATTTTAAGGTCAGGGGTTTAATAACCTCAATTACAACTGCAAAATCCTGTTAGCCATGCAGCATAGTGCAAATGTGCACGTGATTCCTCCTCTAATTCGCAATACCTGGGATTATGGTGGGATATGTTGGGAGACCAGTTTTAGAATTCTGCCTACCACAGCCTTTACTAACCATCAGATGATTATTTGTTAAAACCCTGTTTTGCGACCCTGATGGGGTATCTGTAATTCCTGTGATCATACTGCCCACTCTTTACTGAGTTCCATCATGTCATCATGTAGTTTTACTTGCACCAGGTGCTTGTGCCTTCCCAAGTGTATTGGTCAGGGTTCCAGAGGAACAGGACCAATAGGATATTTAGAGAGAGAGAGAGAGAGAGAGATTTTTTTTATTAGGAATTGGCTCCCATGTTTGTGGAGGCTGACAAGACCCAAGACCTGCACGTGGCAAGGTGGAGACCCAGGAGAGCTGATGGTGTAGTTCCAGTCCGAGTCCAAAGGCCTGAGAACCAGGAGAGCCAGTGGTGTAAGTTCCAGTCCCGAAGTTGCTGGCATCGTCTCAAGAAGATGCGCTTTTTCAGTTCAAGTCCGCAGGCAGGGAAAGACCAGTGTCCCCCCTCAAGCAGTCAGGCTTGAGTCCCTCCTGCTTGAGGGAAGGTCAGCTTTTTTTGTCCTATTCAGGCTTTCGAGTGATTGCCATGGGACACTCCCACTAGAGGGCCACCTGCTTTACTCAGTCTACCTATCCAAATGGTGATCTCATCTAAAACTCCCTCACAGACACACTCACAATAATGGTCGACCTAATATCTGGGCATCCTCCGTGGGCCAGTCACGTCGACACATAATATCACACATCACTCCAGGCACCTTGACACAGTCCATAATTTAACATTTATTTAAAAATTCCTATTCTATCTCAGTTAACTGTTCGGTTTCCCAGCTTCGTCGCCTATAAGACGGAGTTGTGAATAATTTCACTTTGTTCGTTGCATTTAAACTAATTACCTTTAAGGTTATATGTGTGAAAGGGAAAAACGGATCAGGAAGCAGCTTACATTCTTTACCGTATAGGAGAATTCTGCATCATGTGGCATGCAGATTTAATAATACCTAATATTTATGAAATATTTGCCATATTTAGCAAGTCCTTTTGTAAGCTCTTTAAATGCTTTACCTCATTTGTTCAGCAAAACACCATGAGATACATGCCATTGTTAGTCCCCTTTCCGTATGAAGAAACTGAAGCACAGAAGTTAAGTAATTTGTCCAAGATGACAGCTGGTAAGTGGCAGGCCCAGGATTGGAATCTATGGCTTCAGAACCAATGTCCCTAACTAATTAGTGTGACCATATAATTTGTCATCCACACCAGCATGAGAGCACTATTAAAAATTATACCTCAGTGGGCATAAAACAGGAAAGACTTACACGTATGAAGACACTGCTCACTCTGTTAGTGAACATTCTTTGGGTTGCAAGTAGCAGAAAATTCTTTCCTAGATTGGCTCAATTCAAAAGGAAGTTCATGATCTCAGAGTATTTGCAACATCAGCATCACTTTTCCTCCCTCTGCTCGATTATTCCTGTCAGCATACAAACTGGTGTTGTTATTTTTATTATTATTATTATTAAAAAACAAACACAAAACGACGTTCTTTTTGCCTCACTCCCTCTTACCTCCTATGGGGCCTTTTCTCCTCCCCTTGGTAGCAGACCTCCCATAAGGAGCGTCTACACTCGCTGTCTCCAGTTCCCCTCCTCCCATTCTGTCTTAATCTCACTCTGATCGAACAAGTACACCTTCACCTAAACTGCAACTGTTGCGGTCAACGTAAGAATGACATTGATATTTCTAAGTCAATGGCTGTGTCACAGTCCCCTCCTTAAGTGACCCGTCCATAATTTTGGACCCAGTTGATCCCTCCCTCCACCTGGAACTACTTTCTCCTCTGATGTATTATTCAGCATTCTCTAGAGACGTGGAAACAATAGGATATGTATACGGGAAGTGATTTATTAAAAGGAATTGTCTCACGCAGTTGTGGAGGCTGAGAAGTCTCCCAGTCTGGTGCCTGCAAGCTGGAGACCCAGAAGAGCTGGTGGCCTAATTCAGTTTGACAGTGGCCCGAGGACCAAGAGAACCAACGATGTAGATTCCAGTCGGGGTCTGAAGACCTGAGAAACTGTAGTGCCGAGGACAGAAGAAGATCAATGTCCCAGTTCATTCAGTCAGGCAGGAAAGACTCAGTTTTTCCTTCCTCCACGTTTTGGTTCTGTTCAGGCCTCGAGGGATTGTTTGATGTCCACGCGTGCTGGGAAGGGCACACTGCTTTCCTGAGTCCACAGATTCAAATGTTAGTTTCACCTGGAAAGAGCCTTACGGACATACCCAGAGATGACGTTTAGCCAAATATTTGGACACCCCGTTATCCAGTCAAGTTGACACATACACACCTGCGTTCCAGGACAGTACTTTCCTGGTTGTTCTCTGATGTCATGCAGCTGTAGCTCCTCAGTCTTCTTGGCTGTTTCTCCTCCTGTTCCTGTGACCTCTTGATACCGACAAACCTCAGAACTGAATCCTTGTCCTCTTCTCCTCTCTACCTACACTCATTCCTTTCGTGATCTCATCCAGTACTGTGGCTTTCTATGCCATCTGGACCCTCTTCTTTCCCCAGTTTAGATATCCAACTTAGACTCCAGCGTCTGTTGCCACTGTCCACTTGGAAGTCCACGTGGATGTCTAATAGACATTAGATTTTAGCCCTGTAAAAACTGAACTTATTTCAAACAGTCGACTTCTGTTCTTTGTCATCTCAGTTAACATTATCCTTCTAACGACAGCCTCTTCAATAAGTGGTGCTGGGAAAACTGGACAGCTACATGGAAAAGAATGAAATGAGAACACTCCCTAAGACCATACACAAAAATAAACTCAAAATGGATTGAAGACCTAAATGTAAGGCCAGACACTATAAAACTCTTAGAGGAAAGCCTAGGCAGAACACTCTATGACATCAATCACAGCAGGATCCTTTTTGACCCACCTCCTAGAGGAATGGAAATAAAAACAAAAATAAACACATGGGACCTAACGAAACTTAAAAGCTTTTGCACGGCAAAGGAAACCATAAACAAGACGAAAAGACAACCCTCAGAATAGGAGAAAATATTTGCAAACGAAGCATCGGACAAAGGATTAATCTCTAAAACATACAAGCAGCTCATGCAGCTCAATATCAAAAAAAACAAACAACCCAATCCAAAAAATGGGAGGAAGACCTAAATAGACATTTCTCCAAAGAAGACATACAGATTGCCAACAAACACATGAAAGGATGCTCAGCATCACTAATCGTTAGAGAAATGTGAGTGAAAACTACAATGAGGTATCACCTCACACCAGTCAGAATGGCCATCATCAAAATATCTACAAACGGGCTTCCCTGGTGGCGCAGTGGTTGAGAGTCCGCCTGCCAATGCTGGGGACACGGGTTCGTGCCCCGGTCCGGGAAGATCCCACATGCCACGGAGCGGCTGGGCCCGTGAGCCATGGCCGCTGAGCCTGTGCGTCCGGAGCCTGTGCTCCGCAACGGGAGAGGCCACAAAAGTGACAGGCCCGTGTACCGCAAAAAAAAAAAAAAAAAATTTACAAAAAATAAATGCTGGAAAGGGTGTGGAGAAAAGGGAACCCTCTTGCACTGTTGGTGGGAATGTAAACTGATACAGCCACTATGGAGAACAGTATGGAGGTTCCTTAAAAAACTAAAAATAGAACTACCATACGACCTAGCAATCCCACTCCTGGGCGTATACCCTGAGAAAACCATAATTCAAAAAGAGTCATGGCCCACAATGTTCATTGCAGCTCTATTTACAATAGCCAGGACATGGAAGCAGCCTAAGTGTCCATCGACAGATGAATGGATAAAGAAGATGTGGCACATATATACAATGGAATATTAGCCATAAAAAGAAGCGAAACTGAGTTATTTGTAGTGAGGTGCATGGACCTAGAGACTGTCATACAGAGTGAAGTAAGTCAGAAAGAGAAAAAAAAAATACCGTAGGCTAACACATATATATGGAATCTCCAAAAAAAAAAAAAAAGAAGTGGTTCCGAAGAACCTATGGGCCAGAAAGGAATAAAGACACAGACGTAGAGCATGGACTTGAGGACACAGGGAAGGGGAAGCTGGGGCGAAGTGAGAGAGTAGCACTGACATATGCACACTACCACATGTAAAATAGATAGCTAGTGGGAAGCAGCCGCATAGCGCAGGGAGATCAGCTCGGTGTTTTGTGACCACCTAGAGGGGATGGATAGGGAGGATGGGAGGGAGACGGAAGAGGGAGGAGATATGGGGATAGATGTATTATGTATAGCCGATTCACTTTGTTATACAGCAGAAACTAACACACCATCGTAAAGCAATTATACTCCTATAAAGATGTTGAGAACAAGCAACAGCAACAAAACAAGCAAACAGAAAAACACGTTATCCTTCTAGATGCTCACTTAGAAAGATTGGGGTTAGTCTTGCCATTATATCCATCCAGAAATCCTGTTGCTTCCATGGTCTAATGCCTCCTCCCGTGCTACCGCTTGATTCTAAGCCACTACACTTTATTGCCTTAGAACAACAACAACTTGCAACACCTTTGAAGTATTTACGTGGTCTACCATTTTCTACAAGATTTGCTCTTGTGTTACTTCTCTGAAATCCAACTACACTACCACTAGATCCCTCCACACCTACCTTAACCCTAGTAGTTACACTTTAACTGAAGCCTCTTGCACTGGCTGTTCTCTGTGTTGCAAAGGTTCTTCCTCCACATATTTAACAGCTCGCCCCGTCAACTCCTTCAAGACCTTACTCAAATATCACTTTCTGAGGAAGGCCTATCCTGACCGCTTCACAAAATTTCCAGTTTCTCAGCATTCCAGACCTAGTTTGCTTTTCATAACAGTGTAATCTTCCTACGTACAGTATAATTTAATCATTTATTTTATTTATTGTTTATACAGTTACCCCAAAATATGAGTTCTATGAGGGCAGAGACAGATGTCTGTTTTGTTGACTACAGTATCTTCAGGGTCAACAGGAGTGCCTGGCAGTTAGCTGGCAGTCACTACCGTTTGGTCCATTTCCCAAATAGACTGGAAGTGCAAAGTAGGGTGGGTTCTAGACATGGCGAAGTCTAGCTCAGGGATGTCATCAAGGGTTCAGATACTTTCCCTCTCTTTTTCTCAGCCACCTCAGTGTCCTCATCATTCTGGTCCCCAGATGTCTGTAGCAGTTCAGGGCTCGTATCTAGGCATGGTAATATTTAGGCAAAAAGGGAAAATATCTTCCAGTGTTCCTTTTCAAAGAGAAAGAAAACTGACATGATACTTTCCAGAAGATATCCACCCGCATCGACCCAAACATATGAGACTGAATCTGGTCACATGACCAACCTAAAATCAGAGATTGTCAAGGATATTGGATGCATCGTGACCGGCTTAGATGAACATGAGATGATGAGGAGTTTATCACAGTGTTCCCTGAAACACATCTGTGCACTGGTGTGATAAGATGAGAGCGAGGTTGGGGGCGGGGCGGGGAGAGAGAGAGAGGAGAGAGAGAGAGAGAGGTTGTGTGTGTGTACTTGATAGGGGGCGGAATTCTGGTACTCAGTGGTTTCAGATTGTAAAGAAACAAATTATGGTAATTCAGGAGGCAGAAGATGGGGGAAAGTTGATGTCTTGCGTACAAACTCCTGGTCTGTTAATGGCATGAGGCTAACATCATCTGATATGTCCATCTCATACTAGGTAATGCTTTGACAGAGGCACCAGAAATGCTCACAGTCAAGTTGGTAGAGACACTTTTACCCACACAGTGTTTAGATAGGCATTAAAAGTGTTTTATTTCATGGATGAGTAACCAACCCCTTCTGACTGATAACATCTTCACGTAGCCATGTTAATACCTTTATTCAAATCTCAAGGCTTCCCTGTCTTGGGACCTTCCTATTCTCTTTTGTTGGGTTCAGTTTTGAAATAATATATACGTGCATACAAGAGAAGCGTAAAACATATATACAGAGATTTATAATGAGCAATTATAACGTGAAAACCTATGTGACCACCACCCAGGACAATGAGTCAGATAGTATTAAAACCCCAGAGCCCTTGAGGCTTCCCTCCCTGACCACAACCGTGTATCTCCTCAGTAGAGAAATCTGCCATCCTAATCGTTGTTCAGTATCTCTTTTCTTTTAATTCATTCATTCATTCATTCATTTTGGGCTGCGTTGGGTCTTCGTTGCTGCGTGCGCGCTTTCTCTAGTTGCGGCGAGCGGGGGCCACTCTTCGTTGCGGTGCGCGGGCCTCTCATTGCGGTGGCTTCTCTTGTTGCGGAGCACGGGCTCTGGGCCCACGGGCTTCAGTAATTGTGGCACGCGGGCTCAGTAGTTGTGGCTCACGGGCTCTAGAGCGGAGGCTCCGTAGTTGTGGCATGCGGGCTTAGTTGCTCCGCGGCGTGTGAGATCTTCCCGGAACAGGGCTCAAACCCGTGTCCCCTGCCTTGACAGGCAGATTCTTAACCACTGCACCACCAGGGAAGTCCCCAGTATCTCTTCTTGTTGCTCATTGT